TTCCTTATCTTCAGCGGACTTTCTGCTGTACTTCTTAATCTCCTGAAGATTTAACCTAATTCTATAGGATGTTAGCAGTGAGTGAAAAGGAAATAAAGCATAAAACAAGTCACCAGATATGATTGGGTGACCATTAATAACACACACACTTGTTCAATGAAGGGAATGAAAGTCACCTTGCTCCTCATTTTACAGCTGCAAAAGTTTACACTGAAATATACAACCAAAGGACAGACAGCAGGAATGAAACATGTGCAGCCAGAAACAAATACACTTCAATAATTTCATTCAGAGGTCTTTTCATTTAAAAAGAAAAAGGACGCCCACCGTCACATTATTCTAGTTCAGGACATCCATCCTCTGTGTTAACCTGGCTTTTCAACCAGCTTCATCATCCCGGCACTTTGCACCTCTGTCAGACTGTTTAATAACGGATCGTATTACCAGATGCGTTTAAAACCTGTGTAGAATTATTTTTTCCCTGCCTAATTCAGTATTTTTTCTGGATGTCTTACACCAGCGGTCCCCAACCTGTTTTGCGCCACGGACCGGTTTATGCCCGACAATATTTTCATGGACCGGCCTTTAAGGAGTCGCGGATAAATACAACAAAATAAAACTAGTACCGGTACCGAAAAAAAGAAAATTTATTCATAACACACGTGAAAACCGAGTAAACGATAAAAACGACAACAAAATAACGCTGAAAACTGATAAAAACCCTGAAAACTATACATTTTACATCTGAGCCTCAACTCTCGCGGCCCGGTACCAAACGACTCGCGGACCGGTACCGGTCCGAGGCCCGGGGGTTGGGGACCGCTGTCTTACACCACTAGCAGTTGGCAGGACTGTGTTGTTTTTGTTATGCAAGAAACAATATTAAATGTAACAATGTGATTCCCATGGCATTGAGTATAGTTTGTGCCTTGATTACTGGTACTTGTCCTCAGGTTAATGACCGTTTCAGATTTTCCCCATGAATTCTACCTTGAAATAGCAGTCAGCCTTTTCGGTCAGAAACTGAAAAATCTTGTCATGATAAAACAATGTCATCTCAAGGTTCACTGATACACTTATACCAGGACCTGTGTAGCAATAAATCTATTATAGCCCAGCAGTCCTTAATGAATCTGTTCCTTGGCATTGACACTACATGCACAGCTCGTGTTCATGAACTGTGTGCTGAATGTTTCTCAGTAAACCACTCTGCTGAATGGATGGTGTGTCTCTGGCTCTTCACCTTTACTGTTTGCACCTTACCTGAAGGATAAAGCTCACAGGGTGACATTAAAGGATCAGTGTCTGAGCCATGCTGCTTCACAGCAGGAATTCGACAAGACTACGTCTTGGGCCTTGTTCTGTCTTACACATACACTCTGCTTCTTGTACCACTGTGGTGTTGAATTCAGTTAGAAGTTCACAATTCAGTAGAAGAAGTAATTGTCACCTGTCTGGTTGATGTCTCAGAGTTTAAGTCAAACCTGGACAAAATGGTGCTACTGTTCCTCTGGGACAAAATATCTCAGTGAGACCGGATCTGTCCTTTATCACTTTGCTGGTTCTAGTCATAGACTGTACATAAAAGATGGACACAGCCACTATGACATCACCCAGTGGTTTGCATTCTTTAGCTTCCTGGTTGTATTATTTATCAGGTCATTCCATTATAATTACCCCAGTACACAACAACATCAAAAAATATGTTTGAGAACTTCATTTCAATAAGGTGACACTAACACTGTTATTTAAAGAGACCACGCCCCTATCATTAACAAAATCCAGAAGTACTGTTGTTATGAAGAGCAAACTCAGCAACAAAGGTCAAAGTGGACTGGGATATAAATGCATATTCAACCTCTGAAGTTGGGAATTTTCACAGTGAATGGAGTTTTTAGGGATTAACATTGTCATTGTCATTTATCTGCCATAACAATGACACTCATTTCATGTGCATGTGCAGTAGTGGTGCAGCAACGGATCAAAAATCTCACGGATCGGATCAGATCACGGTTTTAAGTCACGGATCGGATCAATTTTCGGATCAGCAAAAAAAAGAAAAAAGACAAAAATGTAACATTTACTTATTGAAGTATTTTTTGCCTGTTAAAAACATTCAACTCAAGACTCATTCCACGCAATTATTAAAAAAACATTATGATACAGTATAGGGCAGTGTAGGGCTTTGTATCTACCACTCAATTCAATTCAATTTTATTTATAAAGCGCCAAATCACAACAACAGTCACCTCAAGGCGCTTTATATTGTAAGGTAGACCCTACAATAATACATACCGCTCATTATATTGCACTCCGCTGTGATATAATGAGCTGTCACGGTCACGTAGCTTTCCGTTGCCCTGGAGGTCCACCCGTTCGTAGTAGTTAGAGCAACAGAAGATGCCTGGGACAGTTCAGCCATAACTTTAAACTTTTCCTGCTCATACATGCTTGGAACAATCTTGCCACTAAAGCGGACGTGCAACGGGATATCATCAAGCACGTTCATCATAGTTTAAACCCCTTGTTTTGCACAACGGAATACGGCCTCCTGTCTGCAGCTAAACACCCCAATAGCTTCTGTAATAGCTTCAGCCCGGTCGGACTGGGCAGCAAAGGGCTGCTTAAATGCCGCAGACCGCTAGCGCTGGCCATAACTATCGCTTGACAGACCCACCACGCGCACCATACACATACTTTTTTTCCTTCTTTTTCGAATCTTCAGATCACGTGTGTACCGAACCGTGGAGTGGGATCGGTTTGGATTATGGATCAACCGTGATCCGTTGCACCACTAATGTGCAGATACTGTGGAATACTGTGGAGCTCTAGGCATTGCATTATTCTATGCATTTTAACACTTTTTCAGAATTTCAGCATCACAGTTAATTGAGACATTTTCTACTCGATCTTTTGAAATGTCAGATAAAACAGTCAGAACAGAACTGTGACCCTGTGCTCTTAGAGTAATGAGCCTTAAAAATACTCTGCAAAATTTAACTAAATCTTTCACCTCCAGGGGGTAGTATTTCACAAAAGGGTTATTTAAAATGATTTTGGATCTGGTTCGATGTTCTTTTTACTTTTTAGCACTTTGACTGTTTTATCAACTGGCTTTGCCACTTAAATTAATCCTTAATCAATAAAATTGACTGAGAAATTTGACTCTAATGCACTAGAAAAAATACATTGTGCTTATTCTCCAATCCAATTGAATATTTTGAGAGCTTTGGGGTTAATTCTTGCCAAAAAATAGTATACAAATGCATGATTACTACCTTTTCACATACAAAAAAGTGATAATGAGAATTTAAATATAGATGTCACAATCAGACACAGTATGGTGAAAAGTTTCTCCTTAAATATTCAGAGTGATCTCACCAATAACTTGTCTCACTGAACACCCTCAGAGTGCGAACACTGTTGACAGGATGTCAATAAGGTGCTGATTGCAGGAGAACAACTGGTGTATGCGTGGTGTGGGAGCATCATCAGTTTTGCAGAGAGCAAGAGAGAGAAAAGGTTTGACAGACAGAGTGTGGGATATGAGTCATGTTGGCACCTTAAATCACAAGTCGGGTTGACAAAGGTGCTGCTTGTTTCTGTTAACGGCATCTCCTCCCTGGTGGCGACTTCCTGATGCAGAAGAGAATAAAGCAGTTTTATCCACGGGTTTCAGTTTATACTGTTTGGCTGTATAGAGAATTTCATTTGGGTAGAAACACCAGCAAGCAGCCACTAAAGGGATTGTATTGAAGTTGTAAAAGAATAAAATCTTTAGGGGCAGCGAGTGATGAAAAGGTTTCTTCAGATTCAAACAGAGGTGTCATTTATAGGAAAGCAACACAACATGTATACTTATTTTAAGGCTGCAGCAGTTTGTTCCTGTTCTCTGGTTCCAGCCTTTGTCTAAGATTTTTTTATCAGCACTTTCATGTTTTGGAAGATTCTCACCTTTTTGGTGACCTCATTATTAAGCCCAGGTCTTTAATGCATGCTAGCTCATTCAACTTAGCCAGTGTTTCAGATGAGTATATATCTATGTATGTCACTAAAACTATTCAGTGTAATTATATAAACCTTATAGTTTCCAAAACACTAATATTTCATATTATGAATGTAATAAAGCTCTAGTTAAAGCTAATAATCATTTACCATCACCTCTAAAGTTCATTTATATGATCTGATTACAGATTATACCATATTTGAGCTTGAATATAAGCTCGGCATGGCCCATTTCCTAGGTTTGTGCTAACATCAGCTAATTGCCACCTGCATTTTGCTCCATGCTCCAGTTTTAGAGATTCATCTTTTGCCTGCTCACACTTTCTGAAATACACATCTGAAATATTGCAACAAGGAAAAAATGCTTAACTGTCTTTTGTGTGAAACCCAGCTCTCAGTTACAACCTGATTATACTATAATACTATAATACGTGTGTATTGTACTATAATACACATGGTCTTGATTAAATTTGAGAACCCCTTGAAACCACCTCCCTGTTTAAGTCTCCTGTCTCTTCTCGGTCACTTACTGTTACTCAAACTAGTATTGTCCAGTAATCAGTCTCTCTGGTTCCTTTACTTTGCTGCTTTTTAAAAGAAAAATACATTTATACAATTTAGGGATAGATCAGTTTCTTTTTTATTATACACATAGTGAAGGATGATATTTTGCATATTTCACAAAATCTGTTGTGAATAAGATGTACGCCACGACCCTCTCTGCTATGAAGTATATGGTTTGGATGATTATATTGCATTAACTTGCTGTTTCATGCTTAATGCAAAATGCTTGAGTCCAGTGAGGCAGTCAGATGAGCTAATTTACTGGGCAGTGGAAGTTTAATGAAAGTGCAAGTGGAGGCTGGAAGTAATATCAATGAGTTTACTGATGAATAATAACTCATTATCTTGCCCTTTGTCTCTCTCCATCTCATTATCTCTTCCCATGACGTTCTCTTCCATTACTCTTCCCTCTTAATCCCCCCTCCCTCCAGGTCTGATTGTGTACCTGGGGATGATGGTTGGGGCGTTTTTGTGGGGCGGCCTGGCCGACCGAATCGGGCGACGGCAGACCCTCCTCATCTCCCTCTCCATCAACAGTGTGTTTGCCTTCTTCTCGTCCTTCGTCCAGGGCTACAGCTCCTTCCTGTTGTGCCGCCTGATCTCTGGTGTGGGGTAAGGGGATAGATGAGTCACTCAGACACAGCTGCCAAAGCTGGAGATGAGGCAGTCACGACCCACTGTAGTACATCAGTCAAACTGATAAGCAGAGCAATGTCACGTGGCACAGAGCAGATTAAATATGAAGTGGCTATATTTCATTAAAAGAAAAAAAAATAGTGTGCCCTTAGATACTGGTTGTATTTGGTGTTTGCTGTATCTCAGGTGAAGTGTTGAAAGGTACTTTTGGGCCTCCCATTTCCTCAGGTTTGGGCTTAGAAACGTCAACAGCTTCCATAACATGGTCCAAAGTCATTGACTAACAATGTGAACACTGACCTACTGCAACAAGCCAACCTGTCTGTAGTTTAACTTGCATGCAGCATCTTAAGGCTGTTGTAAAAGGATTTTAGTCAAAGCATTTTGTGCTCATTGCTGGTGGTTATAGCAGAATGCCAGCAGAATGACAGCCTGCATGAAATCATGCCCTTTCAGCTGGTTGTAAGAAATAATTCATAAATATTTTTCTGTTTTCATTTTTGGTGAAATCCATTAAAATGATTTGCTGTACATGCTATAGTTAAAAGACACAAACAGAATGAATATCTATATTACAAATCTTTAGAAATATTTCATTTAATATTAGCACACATGCAAGAAAGTATGTATATAATACCAAGATGGACAGTTCAATGAATTCTCAGTCATTCACTGAGAAATAAAAAAAATCACAAATGACTGAATCTTTTGTTATGGGAACAGATGCCACCTTTTCTAATTCGGTTACCTTCCGTTTTAACTCCACAGCATTGGTGGCTCCATCCCAATTGTGTTTTCCTATTACTCTGAGTTCCTCGCCCAAGAGAAGCGAGGAGAGCATCTGTCCTGGCTCTGCATGTTCTGGATGATTGGTGGCATCTACGCATCTGCTATGGCTTGGGCCATCATCCCACACTATGGTAAGAAAATGTACAGTATTTAAATATGAACATTCTAAGCTTCGAGATTGTTTCCTCACGCACCAGTAGGCCAGTATCCATTCTAAGCTATGTAAATGCTAATTTTGTCTTTACATTTCTCTACAGTTTTTATTGCAAATGACAAATGCTGCAGTTCTGTCTCACGTCTCTTCTTGCTTCCTTTCCTCATGTAGGCTGGAGTTTCCAGATGGGCTCAGCCTACCAGTTCCATAGCTGGCGTGTCTTTGTGTTGGTGTGTGCCTTCCCCTCTGTGGCGGCCATCTCTGCCCTCACCACCATGCCTGAGAGCCCCCGCTTTTACCTTGAGGTCAGCCTGACAGCTCATACCCCACTTAGACCTTGTGGAAATATATTTTTGAATACATTTTGAATGCTTGAAAGCATAAACAGCCTTAAAGACAAAGTGCTGCTTATGCACTTTTCCAAAACATTTTGAATAACTTAATATGTACATATTTATCGTCCAGGAGAAATCTGAACATTGGAGATGCTGAAATATACATCAAAGATTCTGAATTCAGTTCAGTATGTTTTAAACACTGACACAGAAAAAAAACCCTGATTTTTATTTAAAAATGCCCAATATATATAAAAAAAATCAGGCATGTTGTCAGTATTTTAGTACTAAACCACTTTTAGCTAATCATGTTAGCTGCAGGTTTATACCACCAGATGTTCTCACTTCTTGTATCTCCTTGTTTCTACATATTTACTTATTTATTTTATTTTACACCTGCACTCACGTCCCACGCACTTTCATTCACATCAGAATATCTCAGTTTAGTAAATGAAGCTGCAGCTGGTGGCAGACAAAGATAAAACACTGTAGAATCAACAACCTCTCATTTGGCATTTTGAAACATTTCCACGTGTACTGTGTGTGGTTTAGTCTCGATTTGGACTGAAATGTAGTCAGGCTTTCACATAAACATAACTGCAGCACTTACTGAAATTTAACGAAGAATAAGAATCAAATGGAGGCCGAGATTACAGGCAGAGAAATAAATGCAGAGGCAGCAGACTGAGGTAAAATCCAAAGCAAAATGAAAACGCCATAAAATACAAAACAAGACGCTGGGTGAGGAACATGAACTCACAACTCAAAGGAAGACTCTGAAGGCTAGAAATAAAAGCAACTGGATTTCTTTTTGATTCGTGAAAATATTCAGTTGCTAATCCAAGAGGCCATCCATGTCCACTGTGAAAGATCATCACTGAACAGAGGTGGTGGCTCATGACACCAGCTATCAGCTGCCCGTAACGCAGTCTCGAGATTCTTTGCGAGCCAATTGTGACCGACGTAACTTTAATAGCTCAAAGGATGTTGAAGTATGGCTGTGTTTCAGAAAGTAGCCACACCCCTGGCTCGCGTGAATCTCAGAACCACCTCCAAGGGCACGAAGGTTACATCTTTATCTGTTTAAGAAAAACAAAAACGTAATTTATCTAAGTGTGCACATTGTTGAATAGTTGTATGAATATGCATTTATCTGAATGTGACTCTAAGTACTGCACAAGATTTCCTATATGCCCAGACCTAGTTCACAAACGGTAAATGAAAGATCTTGTCTTTATCTAGGATTTTAAGTACTGAAGAAACCAAAAAGACGTCCAGTTGCCTTCAAATGGTTAAGAATAAACTAAGTTAAGATAATAACTTGAAAACGAGTGTCACATCAAAATTTAAAATCTATTCATAATAAAACTAACAATGAACTAAAAACAAAAAAACCCCAAAACAAATAATCATCCATGATGGAAAGACAACAACAACAAATGAAAACTAATATAATAAATAAATAATAAAATATAAGCTGCGTTAATTTAACTGAAAATGGAAATGAAGGATATGCGAAACATCTTTTTTTGTGCCCCTCCTAAAAGAATGGCAAACATGACGAGGCGTGGATGATTCTGAAGCAAGTTCACGACACCAACATGAGGGCCAAGGGTTACCCCGAGAGGGTCTTCTCTGTAAGTAACACTCAAGAATGTTAAGCTTCTTTCATGCTAACACTTTTGCATTAATGCAGAAAATAACATCATCATAATAGTTTGCAGTTTGTGGGCTTATAGAGTGCAGCAGGTTTAGAGCTCTGTGCTGCATAATTTTGCATATTAATGAGTTAAAACAGATGCTCTTTAAACTTCTGTAATCTCTTTATGCCTCAGGCTGTACAGTTCATATTAATAATTTAAATGAAAAATGGTGATTCAAAGATGTTTTATAATCTTTTCTTTGAGTAAAATTATTAAAACAACTTTCTGTTTTACAGATTGTGGTGTTACTGGTCAGCTGTTAGCCTCATAACATGGATACATTGTAATACTAACTGAACTTTAATGGAAAAATACATCATTTTATATGAAGTTGTGTGATTATTCTATGAAACCTTTTTAACAAAGAGATTTGTAAAGCACTCTCAAGAGGAGCACGATTAACAATCGTTAAACAGAACAATTAAATCATACCTCCCAGGTGACCACCATCAAAACAGTGAAGCAGATGGATGAGCTGGTAAACATGGGCGATGGTGCTGCCTGGCACGAGAAATGGAGGATAAAGCTCACCACGCTCTTCCATCAGGTAAGAAAAAACCCTGATTATTCTTTTTTAAAATCAATTTCTTACTTGATACATATTTAAATGAAAAAGAACGAGAATGAAAAGGAGAAAGGATTCAAACTACTTGTGGCTCAGGAGGTTGTCCATTAATTAGAAGGTCTGTTTTGATCCGTGGCTACTCCAGAACCGGGTGTAATGGATAAAGTGCCTGAAATGAATAGAATAAATAACTGAATGTTTCTGTAAATGGTCTCATGTGGTTTGTAGTGTAAAGCGTTCTGAGCAGTCAGCAACACTAGAAAAGCAAAACACAATCCATTAACCTTGTTGCTGCAAATAGACAAGAAAATGTGCACAGCAAATTTGTGATATCAGCGATACATTTACATACAGCTACTTTAACTTGAAAACAATCAGTGGATTTGAAAAATTTATACAGTCTTTTGATAACACTTTTTGTTGCTTTACTTAGTCCTACATCTGTGGAAACATAGACTGTGTATTAACCTCCTAAGACCTGCCGTTCACATATGTGGACATCACATTTTTTACATTCATTGGGCCCCAATATGCCCAAATATCAAAGAGAAATTAAAATGCATGCCGTGGAAGAGTTCGGGTCTTAGGAGGTTAAAGATGGATCTAGTCTCCCACTGGTTTGTGCTGTCCTGGTCTGGAGGCTCAAACGGAACATTTTTTGCCATCGTTGCTTTGATCTTTTAAAACTGGGATGACTGAAGGTTGTGTCTGAGAAGCCAAGAGCCACAGAATCAAATGGCAGCATCTTGTTTTCTGTGACGATCAGAACTCCACTGACAGGCTTTAAGTTGGCTTCACTTGTTAAAATGGACCTGGTCTTGATCTGAAGGAATTGTAACTAAAAAGAAGATATATTAAAAATCTCACCAAGGCTCTGTTTATCTTGTCAGATCTTATTGTGTGTTTAGTGATTCTGTGTGTTTGTGTTCTCCCTTTTCGGTCTTTGTTTACACTAAAACTGGAAAGGGATTCTGGGAGATGCTTTTTATTTCTCACAGTTGGTGAAAAGAACCCTGTTTTCAGAAATGTCTGAAGTCTATTGACTTTTTAGCTGAGTGTACTTTACATTTATTACTTTCTCTTTGCACATCTCTTGTGTCTGTCTGTGTGTTTCTTCAGGTTTGGAGTAATTTCCAGACCATTTTCTCTCCCGAGTACCGGCGCACCACCTACATGATGATGGCTGTGTGGTTCTCTATGTCCTTCAGGTAGGATCAGGTGTATTAACTAATGCAGGATTTTCTGTGTTGCATAGTGAAATCTGTTTATTTGTCTAAACTAAAAAGAGCAGATGGCTGTTGATCACAGCGGCTTTGTGTTTGTTTATCAGGAGTCAGTTGGCTGTTGGTGATTTAAATGTAAAGGCCAACATTATCTCCTGGTCTAGCTGGCCACGGCAGGTCCATAATTATAATAGTTGGTGAAAGCAGGAATTTATCAGTGAGTATAAAACAAAAAGGGGCTTGAAGCAGGATCTGCGAATGGATGCGATCACTTTCATGTCATTTAGTGTCAGCAGTGCTACTGAATAACTCAAATGCCTCTTTTTGTAGCTGAGAATGAAAAAGCAGAATCAAATAGAGATTCACCCTGAACCCATGACCCCTCCCACAGGGTTTTGTTGGCATGATCACTACAAATCAATACGAACAAAGTCTTGGGCGATCACGTTTATTCTGTGATCATCATTTCTATCCTGATGGGATCTGTTCCAGGATGACAGCACTGCTTTCTGCAGGGTCCAAAGAGTTATTCATGGTGTCTCTCTCATGGCCATCTTGGTGTTCATCATGTTACTGTTGCTCCACAGTCATCGTTACATCTGAAGAATCATGCGGCTGTGATGCCATTGCAGCCTGGCCACTATACCAAAGCACAGCTTGCCCTATTTCACAAAAATATTCATGTATTAAATAATCTTTAACACATATCCTAAAAATGTGATTGTCCTCAGGCACCACTTACCACGTTGCGGAAGGTGCAATAAAATATTATGCCTTATTTAAAATAATGTGAATCATGTGCTGCAATCTTTATAACGATCCACAAAATAATGAATTGATGTGAATTTATTTTAACGTTCAAAGGCATGCAAGACAATAAATTTTCACCAGTGAACCTTTACTAAGCCTGGTAAACAGGTTCAGTTTGATACAGTAGTTTGCTAAAGCAAAACATAACATTACTTGGATTTATCTAACATGTATTTCAGTTAGTGCCAATATATTATGTATATAACTAATAACGAATATAAATCCATAAAGCCGTAGTGCACTGAAATATTAATTTACTCAGTAACGCTCGTCTTCCAACATCCTTCTAGAAGCCAGTCACTAATCAAATTTCCCTGGACGTTATATTCTATTGTTCCTGAGCAAAAGTACACAACATTATGTTTAATTAAAGGCTTAATCGAAGGCTTAATTACCTCGAGCTCTCTCCAACAGAGCGCTGAACAACTTGCAAATTCATATTATGTAGATGGTAAAAAAGAAATGACACTTATGTATAACCATAAAGCGTCACTGGCTCTTTTTTCCCTTTTCAGGTCTCTTAGAGGTAAATGGATCATTTCTGTGAGAGAATTTTTCTTTGTCTTCCAGCTACTATGGTTTGACGGTGTGGTTCCCCGACATGATCAAATACCTGCAGAAGCAGGAGTACTCCTCACGCACCAAGGTTTTTGTCAAGGAGAAGGTAGAACACGTCACCTTTAACTTCACCCTGGAAAACCAGGTTCACCGTCAAGGAGAGTACTTTAACGACAAGTGAGTTGTCTTCTACTCCTCATTAGTGTTTGCGTTTTGAATGACAGCGAATCCTTTGGAATTGGGCTTCATGTCAGTCAGATGCCTTTTGGTCCAACGCTTAATGAATGAATGCATTCAGACAGAACTAGCTTGTGGTGGACGGCAACAAATGAGATGCAAATATAAATGAGGCTCCGAAATGTTTTATTCTAAACACTGGTTTGATTGCATGAAAGCCCTGGGGACTTTTTCATGTTCAACTAGCCTGTCTTTGATGTTTCCTTTGACCTTGCCTTTTCAGCCTGAACTCTGCATGTGATTTCAGATGTTACAAATTTACAGCATTATGCTAATGCCATATCTGACACTCTTGTGACAAATCACTTGTTTCTCTGTCTCTTTGCATCTTCCTTTGTCTCTGTCTGCTCTCCACCTCCGTGCTGCACCTGTTCATTTTCTCCATGCCTCCATTCCTTAATTCCACTGTTCCTTCATGTGTTCGCTTGCAGGTTTATGAACCTGAAAATGAAGTCTATGGTTTTTGAGGATTCCCTCTTTGAGGAGTGTTACTTTGAGGACATCACCTCCACCAATACCTTCTTCAAGAACTGCACCTTCATTGCCACCCTTTTCTACAACACTGGTAGGGAACACACATACAAACACTCGCAGGTGTTCTATAATAGGAAAATATGGTCTTGTATAAGTAAAACCTTTAAATTAGAAGCTTTTATGTGTGTTTCAGCAGGCCCTGAAAAAAATGCAGAATAAATTATATATGGCCATTTATGGTAAAAATGTAATGTTGCTGTTGCTCTGTGCCCCTGTTCTTTCTTTGCTATTTATAGACCTTTCGGAGGTCTCTTTATAAATAACTTCCTTGCAAGTAGTTCTACTGGCTCAGTTTCACTCCTGTGTTTTCTGTTGAAAAGTGACAGTTTGTTGCTACTGTCTAGTAAATACATTGTTACCGGTGAGTTCTGTGCGCTCTGTGCGTTCCCTGAGCAGTTTGGCTCTGTTTGTCAGACTGCTAAATTGCTTCCTTATTCACCTTCACAGAATGACTGGATCTATACTGAACTGAGTATTCTGGAGCTGCAAAATCCCCTTACACACCGGGGGATTGTTGTATTAATGTTATTCTTTCCTCACTGAAAAAGACAAATGATACCACATGTGGAAATCTATATCACACAGTTTCAGATTCAGCAGCTGTGTCCACACATGCAAACACCGCCCTGGTCTCGCTTTGTTGGTTATTTGCAGTCTTTACACAAGTCAAGCGATCACTCAGCTGTGCTATCACTGCTGGCCAGGAGTTCCTTGTTATAATGGAAATTAGAAACTTGTTTGCTTATTAAGGATTAAGGTCTCTTTGGGTTTTCTATGCAGAACTTGAGACTTTAGTGCTAGTTGCCATGGTGCACCTTATTTTTACACTGCAGAATGACGAGGAAATAACACATGAAAAATGCAGCTGGGCTGTACCTCATCTTAGTCTTTGAATGTACAGATCTACAGGTTTAAAAAAGGCTCAACTTTGCACACTTTCATTTTCTAAGGTCTGACATATCAGGAAATCTTTTTAGAATAATAATTGTAACATATGGCTGCATGTACCGTATCTGCGTGAGTCAATCTGAATGAAGCTTAGCATAAATATCGTCACATTTTCAGAGATGATTAACATCTTTATATTTTAAAAAACATCTAATACAATCCCAGTTCTTTTGCACCCAGGTGTTTCATATTCATCTTACATTCTCCATTTGCGTTTGTGTCGCATGTCATGTTCAATGTACGTTGCCTATCATCAAAATTTGGATATGCAACAGAATTTTGTTTGATTCACATCTAAATACAGACTGAAGAATTGGAAAAGGCACCACAGGTCTGGTAATAAAAAAAATCATCTAATCCTGAGTAAAAATGTCATGAATGTTTAACTTTCACAGTGTTTGACTGTGCCCATAAAAATTAAGTGGGGTCGACATTAAATGGAGAAAAGTCCATAACAATCAGCTCTCAGTTGTCTTCTTTTAGGTTTATTTGGGCTCAGCGTCATGCTTCAGTATGGCTGCATGTGTCCAGCTCCAGGGTAGCAAAATACCCCCAGAATGTGGATTTGAGCTACTGCAGTTTAATTTTCTCTCTCCTTTTCATTTCCTCACATTCATCCTTCGGTTGCTTCCATTATTCTCCACTTGGCAGTGAATGATAGATGATTTTCCCTTCTGGGAAATATTTTGGAATTGCTGCTCATCCTATAGGTTCATTACTAGAGAGCTTAATTTTGACAGGACCTGCTCATTGTAATCTTGTGTTCTTTATTTCGTAAATTCAGCACCAAAGCAGCTTTTTTATGCTGCTTAGTGAATACAACTTGTGTGAATTTTCTGATCGACAGATTTTCTGTGACCCCTCTGTGGTCCAAGAGTAATATTTGATCTTGCAAATGTTGTCCTCTTAGTATCATTCACTGAGTGTTAATAAAGTGTCTTGCTTTGTCCACCTGACAGCAGTTTACTGACCAGTTCTTTGAACCTCTCACTCTTTCTGTCTCCTCTCCTGCTATCCTGAACATCGCTCCTTATCCCTTCTTTCTCCTCACAGATCTTTTCAAGTACAGGTTGATCAACTGTAAGCTCATCAACAGCACTTTCCTGCACAACAAAGAGGGCTGCCTGCTCAGTGACATAAGCGATGAAAATAATGCCTACATGGTCTACTTTGTCAGTTTCCTGGGTACCTTGGCTGTGTTGCCAGGCAACATCGTCTCTGCGCTGCTCATGGACAAGATCGGACGGTTGAGGATGCTTGGTATGGGCCATGTTACTCAGTGGTGCTTGAATCTGAAGTTAGGCCTGCTTTGATCCAATTCATTTTTAAATATAAATACAGCACACGTTTAAATATAACTCCCTCTGCACTGTAAATCACTTGTTTTAAAGAACTTTTATCAGCTGCTGCCTGAGGGCATGAAAAGACAACTTTCCTGTGGAAGATTACTTCTTTTGCCGTGTGGTGCTAAAAGAGCCAACAAGCAGCACTGTCCAGATTGTGAAAAAAGAAATCCACAAACCTTATTATGTGTAGTTTTCCTACATTAACCTGCTCATGATAAGATTTCTGGATGCCATCTAGTTCTGTTCAAGGGCAACTCATCCAAAAGCAATATAGATGGAACAATGGAACAATTTTGTTTGGTCTGGAAACGTATCCTATTGGTCAGAATGAGAAATTATAGCTATAGATTTAGATAAGAAAAAGAAAAATAGAGGGAGATAAAGAGAGATCATTTTATTTTATCTGTTTAATAAGTGTTCTGTGCAATAGAGATTTATGTGCAAAGGTGCAAAATGATTTGATCCTCAGTCATTTTCAGCTGAGTTATGCAGGAATCCCATCAGTTCTTCTGACATCATTCTTTCCCCCTCTTTATCCACAGCGGGCTCCAGCGTGATATCTTGCATCAGCTGTTTCTTCCTTTCTTTTGGCAACAGCGAATCAGCTATGATTGCCCTGCTCTGCCTGTTTGGAGGAATTAGCATCGCCTCCTGGAATTCCCTGGACGTGCTGACCGTCGAGCTCTATCCCTCTGACAAGAGGTAGGTAATCCAGGCAAGCCCAGAAATCTCCCTGACACCATAAAGGCTGTGACGTGTTAAGTTATGTCATAACAGATGCCCCTTTATGATTGGTTGGCTTGCAGGGATGGATGACATTGTGGGATTCTGGGTTTTCTTGATTCCAAATAATGGTTTTAAAAGGAGCTTCTCTGGGTTCCACTTTATATTTATAACTTGTAGTATAATATATATATATTGAAAGTAATATAAAGTAAGAGCACCTGTGTTGTCAGACTCATCAAAGAGGAGCACTACCTTTAGTAGCGTGCCAAACGCTGTTGAGTTTTAGGAGCTCTAGCACCACCCTGTGGTAACTCAAGCAACTGTTTTCTCTGCTGGTTTACTTTAAACATGCTCAGGCACCGAAGTGACTCTGTGATTCTTATCTTTCTTTTCTCAGAACCACAGCATTTGGCTTCCTCAACGCCCTCTGTAAATTAGCGGCGGTGTTAGGCATAAGCATCTTCACTTCGTTCGTTGGCATAACCAAGGCTGTACCCATCCTGTTTGCCTCAGGTGCACTGGCAGCAGGCAGTTTTCTGGCCCTCAAACTACCTGAGACGCGGGGCCAGGTGCTGCAATAATGTGGCACCAACAACTTTCCAGAGGGCAGAAGAGTTTTTGCCACACTGTGAACGAATAGCTCAAGAGCCCTCCAAATCCTGCACTCTAACCTCTCCCCATCAACAAGAGTAAATTGTAATGCAGGTAAATATTAGTAATTATTTGATTGGTACAACTCCATTCCACAAAGAGCTGTAAAAAAGAAAAAGCTAAAGTAAAATCTGCTGCCTGTGCCTCATTGTTACTCTAAATTGGAAAAGATGAAAACACCAGAAACATAGTTAATGACATATTTAGTTATTAGAGTCTGTCTCCCACACTGTAAATACATTCCTCTGGGGTTGGAGGTCAGGGATGGGGACTCTTGATGATGAGCCATGCAAATAGACTCATAGAAATGACCACTAGCCATTGTTGCAGAATTCTCTGTAGTCACCTCCATTCTTCCGAGCAAATCCAACTCACCTTTCCAGTCTTGAGTGCTTTACCATTGTTGGACACTGACTCAAAAATGCAACATTTTCTGCCTTGATTTGAAGCATTTTTGACTTTGCGAGGTAAAACCAAGACACTCTTCTCTTGGCTTCCTCCTTAACAAAGATCTGTCGTCATTCTTTATCTCCTGAGGTCTTGTGTTGGTGTACAGACTAACTGCCATTTTTTTAGATAATAGAACATTCCAGGTTTGCTTTTGTTGCGATAAGGAGCTCCATTGAGCTCCTCTCTCCCTTTATTGCATTGCTATAGTGAAACACCGCTCACCTCCAAGCAGCCATAAGATCATACATACACATTTCCCACTCAAAGGGAAAACTGCATTCTACCATTTAAATCACAAAGGTGAAGATATCTGTTGAAATGTACATGTAAAGCACAACCACTTGTCAGTGTGAGTGCCCCTAACATTTTCCTGACTTGAAGAAAATGTTTAGAATCTCACACTCAATCATCGTTTCCAGCCACTCTGTATATCCCTTTGTGAGAAATGCCTTTTTAGTACTCTTTCTCCCAGACTTACAGTATGTTTGTCTCTTGTATGCTTTGGAGGGTGTTCTGCATGTCACAACGTATGTATGTAACGTTATGAAAACTGAGAGTACAACATGTAAGCAGCACATGTTGCATCTGTGCATCAATTACTCTGAATTAAGTTGTATTTTGATATTTTTTATCCATAAAAGACAGCACAGTGCTTTTATTCTGATGTAGGGATCCAATACTTCTGAACTGTTCTTAAAGCACATGCCACAGATTTAATCTGGTTATTACACATGAAAAAAAAGAAGAAGATAATAGAAAGTTTTTTAAATGTTACCCCACAAGCTAATGTTTTAGATGCAGCCATAGATTGTGCTAGATGTGTAAGCTGACCTAAATACCTTTATCTGTTTGAGCTGAATGTTTTCATTAATGTGAGTGTGCTTCTTGGTGCAATATTGAACCTCTGTGCAATATTGAATATTTTGTTTTTATTTATTTATTTTGTCTTCTACCATTTCACAAATGCAACTTTGATTTGTGGATGGATGTGGAGTAACCTATCTAATATACAGTAGATAACTAACACGGCACGATAACATACAGTACTGGACATGATTAAAGGACAGTTCAAACCAAATCAGATTTGCATGTTTTTTTCACCCAAACTCCACAAACCTCGATTTGAACACATAAATAATTTTCTCTCCATTGTCTCCACCTCCCCACCAAAAGAAGTTTGCAGCGAGCTAACATGGCAGCAGTATTTATATCCTGTCACTCTGTCATTTGCACATCATGAGCTTCTCGTCATGTGTAGATGAAGAGCGATGCTGAGTAATACCACTGGCTGGTGTAGTTCAATAGAAAAACCAAACCAAACAAAAGAAACAGGAAAATATTGCAACATCTCATTTGTAAGCCTGTCGTGGACCACAGTCAGCAGCTTTAACCTGGACACGCCCAGGGTTCCAGCACAGTCCTCTGTAGGTTTGAGAGCCTACAGGTGTGAGGCAGAAACACTAACCACTGAGCCACTGTGCTGCCACCTGAAAATATTGAGTAGCTAGGTCATGATTTCTGTAAAGATGCTATTGTTGATTTTTGGGCACTTGGTGCACGCCAACGCAAGTGTCATCTGATTCTCTTAGATTCAGGAGAGGGAACGATGCTTTCCACAGCTTACACCGAAGCAAGGTGGAACAATAGCACTTTAAGTCAGAGAACAAAAAAACTGTCCCTTAATCTGTCTTTTGCTCTTGAAACAAGAAAAAATACAGTTCAACAGTTGGAGAGTAAATATTTGAGCTGTTGTAAAGTACTTCAGGCAAAGTAGGACATGTGATCGCACGAGAGTTATTCATCTTAATTGTTCTTATTTTGGGGCTTGTATGTTCTTTAGGCCTGTTACAGGATTTACTGTATTTCAAGGGGATTGGTATGCTGATGAGAGTGTGAATTTTGGACATTGTGTTTAAGTCTGCTGTATGGTTGAAAGGTATCCAGATATAACATGAAATTCATCATAGAGAACTCACTGCCAAGGGCTGACTGTCATAAATTCCACACATACAACAGCACAGAAAATATTGCCACATTCCCCTGATCCGCAAAATGATTATGATGTGTTCACATTTGCAATGTTTAAGAAAAACAATCATCGACATGCCAGATTAACAAGAATACAATCCTTTTCTCCAGACTGCCATTTTCTTAGGATAGCAGCCATACGTAGACTCGAGACAGTCGAAAACAACAGACAAACCATTGCACTAAGTGAACACTGTCATAAAGGCACAGTGGAGAATCCCTCGATTCCTTCTCAACACATCTGGATGCGGCCTTGCTAGAAAGTGAAGTGAAAGACAAGGTTTAGCAAGAGCACAATGACCAAAATCTACCAAATGACAATTTTGTAATTGTGAACATGAGGTGCTCATGCAACCCCCCCCTCCACCAGGACAGTGACCTGCCCTTTATATATTTTCCCGTCTCACTCTGATCCAAATCTGACATCGGACCCCTCATCTATGAGTGTGCCATGAGACCACCTCTCATTAATTATTGCCAAATATTTCCTATGCCCTGAGTTTACATATGATACCATTAATTCTCTGTTATACATATGAAGATATGTAAATAAAAATAACTAATGTAACTAATAAGATAAGCCACCCATCACATGAAACAAGAACATCTGGACTTTTCATCTTTTCACGACTCTTAACAAATCTGACTTTAAGGGTTCAGATGTTCTTGTTGGAAATCTGCAACAAATAACATCGTTAGAAGCCCAAACAGCCAGCGGGCCTGAAAATAAAATTAGCCAGATCCTCCCTTAAGAGCACACTGATACACAAACGCACATTCACAGCATAAATATAAATGCCAAGCGTTAGCAGTTCAATTCTCTGTATATCGTCCTGTATCACCCATGAAATTAAGAGCAAGGATGTCAAGATAATCGTTGTATTTGTTTAGCATGGTACACTGTCAAGACGCTAACGTGTCTCGGTGACTCGGTTCACGTCAAGATTGTCTCTTGTAGATACATATCCTAGCTTATGTTACAGGGTTTTTTCTATAATTAACGTGTGGCCTGAGCAACAGTCAATTGTGAGTGCAAAAAGTTATCAAAGCAATAAGTGTTTGGATATTTGTCTTTTATTCTCTCCTTTGAAGTTATTGGGAATCGGAGCACATTAGCTATACGCTGGCCTTGTCCACGGAAATGCTGGTTGTTGGCTCAATAATGACACAGAAATAAACAGCTGACATTTGTGTGTACTCTCTGAAGCTACCCTAAGTCTTGACGCCTTTGTCAATAAAATTGCATTGCCATTAATTAAATGTAAGGAAGAATTTATCACCCTTGTCACTGTACTGTGCTGTATAAACTGTAGTTGATTGTAAGTTTAGAAACTGTGGTATCATAAATATTAAAAAACAAAAAGCTGTAAAACAAAAAAAAGCAGTGTAAATGAACAATACTGTATGTTGTCTTTGATTTTATGTATTTTGTAAATGAGAATGAAACACAAGTAAATACATCAATGTTAAATACCAGTTATAAATCCTAATTAGAGTAAATATGGCGGCATCATTTCTGTTTAAAGGTGTGTGAGATTTTTTTTTCTTCTATTTTCTCATTGTTGATTTTTGGGTTTACATTTTTCTGTGACCCTTTGGAATCACAATGGATAACAAAGAATCATGATGAATAAACAAATTAAAAGAATTATTTTGTTTTTTATATTACCATTGAGTATAATGGGATATTCACTCGCCCTAGGTACTATTGCTCATCCACTCATTGCCACAAATATCTAATAGACCAATCAGATGGCAGCGAATGAAAGTATGTAGACAAGATGACCTGCTGAATTTCAGGCTGAACATCAGAATGGGGAAGAAAGGTAAGTGACACTTACTTAATACAGCCGTTGGTTGTCAGACAGGCTGTCTGAGTGTCTCAGAAACTGATTGTCTACTGGGATTTTCCCCGTCACAGCCATCTCTAGGATTTACAGACAAAGGTCAAAAGAAGAGAAAAATACCCAGTGAGCAGCAGTTCTTTGGTCAGACAGGAATGGTCGGAATGCTGTGAGGTGATAAGAAGGGCAGAATAACTCAGATTACGACTTGTTAAAAGCAAACTATGCAGAAGAGCATCTCTAAACACACAATACATTGTACCTGGAAGCAGATGTGCTACAGCAGCAGCAGAAGACAACACTGGGTTTCATTCCTGCCAAACCAGCTAAGACCAGGAACCTGAGACTATGTTGAAAAAACAAACAAAAAAACCTCAAAAACATTGCTTGGTCTGATGAGCCTCAGTTTCTACTGCAACATTTCGGATGGCATTATGGACTGATGATTTCACCTTATATTTCCTCCAGCGTGTGTCAGAATTTAGAGTAAACAATATAAAAGCATTGATTCACCCTGTTCCATGTGGTAGGACAGGAGATTCAAATCATGGATGAAGAGAGTGACAACTCTGCAGCAACTGTGTGATACTGTCAGGTCAATATACATCTGAATCTTGGAGGAATGTTTCCACACATTGTTGATCCTGTGCCACAAAGAATTAAGGCAGTTCTGATGACAAAACAGGGTGGTGTTAGGTATTTTAGTACCATGGGAGCATTTACTGGATATTGTTTTATAGTGACATTATACAGGAAAACTCTGTCATTCAATAAGGCCCCTTTGTTTTAGTTATTTTTCTCTTTGACCCAAGAATTGATGTGTGAGAATCACAGGCTGGTACAAGGTTGAAATACCACAGAGATCACTCCCTCAGCTACATTAGTTTCTTAATCTCTTAGGAGACGCCTGTTGAAGGCCAGATGGTTTGTTTCAGAATTCACTAATGAAAGAACTCTTTATTTCGTGCCTTGAAAATATGTCGCTGAGATAATCATAATTGTAGCTGAACTGATAAACTCCACAAAGGATGCTTCTTCACCCAAGGACAGGAAGACGCTCCCTTATCTTGGTCTGTACTGGTTTAAACTGATAATCTGCTGTCTCATGAATTTTACCCTCTATATAAACTGTTGTACTTGAGAATAAAGTTGAGTCAATTTGGGAAGACAACCTGAAGCAGTCTCTGTTTTCTTGTTCTCCCAAGCTGCTCCCGAGCTCGTACTAACACGCTGAATGGCATGCTTGAATATTACTTCAGAATATATTTGACTGTGTTACAGACTAAGGGACATTCTCTGCTGATAGACGTCCACGCCTCGAAGGAAGTCGATCCACGGATTAGGCCCTGGAAGCCGTTTCCTTCAGGTGGAAATCTGCATTAGCAAGGATGTACTCAGTCAGATGCACTGCCTGAAACAGGAAAACATAATGCAGGGTGATGTGTTATTTGAGGGAAAGAGTATTCCAGAAGATATTCTCTTATTGGGTGTTTTGATGAAGGTGATGGACAACATGGTTGGTTACACTGGTCGCTTAAGCAACCCTACACATTTACTTAGGTTTAGATGATTCACATAATCATCATAATCCTTGAACCACCTGGTGTCCAATGCATGTGCAAACATACTAGTTTGATTTCTTGTATGTTTGTTTATATGTTTGCCAGCATACAAGAAATCCAAAGACGAAGAATACAGCCAGAAACGGCTTTTCCTGCACAAGAAGACTTATTTATCCAAGATAGGCTAAGACTTTGTTAATATGGGCTTAGGGGTGGGTTCATCTTACTGGCAAAATCCTGATAATAAGTGTGAGTGAGACGACTCAGAGAGACTCAATCGTAAAAATGACTCTCCTCAGAGTGCTTTTTAAAAATGCCTGGCAGCTGGAGCCCTGATGCTACTCTTCACACCATGCTTAACCTGGACAAATTTGATTACAGAAACTTATGGAACGTCTACATGACTGTGGGCTGTTTAATAAACTATAAATATAAATGCATTAAAAATGGAGTGGGTGTGCAAACAATAAATGGCAACAATATACTAGCGATGCATCCAGTATGCTCAAACTCAAGAAGAAGCAGAACAAATGAAATTGGAAATAAAGGTAATAATACCATTCAAAGAAGAAGAAAACGGCGACAATGTAACAGCAGAGGGGGGAGAAGCGGGAAATGATACACCCTTATTCAGTATACAGAAAAATATTGGTAAAAGCTTATTTATTTTAGAAATATGAAATCAATGGTAGGCAGAAGGTAATTTTAGTTATTTTATTGAAAAGTCTTATCAATTATGGAATGACAACATTTTTCTTTTTAAGAGAGACAGACTTTGAGAGTCTAGAGATGAAATATAAAATGAAGTAGTTTGCTGTGTGTAGAAAACCTTCGTGAAACAGGAACTTCCCATTTCCTGCCGCAGATTTGCATTTGGGGGTGTTGTGTATTTACTCCAGCCCAGCAGGTGGCAGTAACACGCTGGTTGTCAACATCCAAAGCCAAGTAGAACAACGAGACAGCGTCAGCACTGAGCATACTTTGCTGGAAGGTTAGTAGCCAAATTTACTTTGGTTAATTATTATCTTGTCAATTATTATAGTTATAATATTAAAGACAGAGTGTGCGTGTTTTGTGTGAAAATGTTCGGTGTAAACACAGCTTCCTTCTCTCAGATTTTACTATGAAAGCTGGAAATCTCAAGCTAGCAAGCAACGACTTCATGCCACCAAGCAAACAGTTACACAACCGTCCTTTCGGTCGGTGTACCTTTGTAAAAGGGACAATGGGAGAGCTGTGAGGTCTTTATTAAGTTGCCAGGGTAATGCAGTCTGTAAAAATTAAATGCGCATGTGTCATTTTAATCCATGAAGTCGGTTTAGGCGCTGAAGCTGCTCTCACGGCATCACAGTGGCTAAATAAGAGCCTCCTCACCAAGCTAACAGATATTTTATTGTTATATGGTGAATCAAACGCATCCTAACCCAGACATGATAAAGACACAATACCCTAATTCTTTTTCAGAGATAATTTGTGCCTCAACAGAAGAAGATATCTGTTTATTGCTTTTATCATGTAATGGGCATCGACTAAAACTGCTTTTTCACCCCAGCTGAAGCCCTGAACATGTCTTTACTTGATTCTCCAGATGTTGTCCTGAACACAAGTATGTCACATTACCTTACATGTCACATGTTTTTATGCCTTCCTAGTTGGTCAACTGCTACAGCTTGATGCTTCCCAGCGTCCTCCGCTGTGCTCGGCCCGTATCCTCCCATCCTGCTTTAACCCGTCCCTTTGCCCACTTCAGACCACATATGGACCCAGACCCCAGCCGGCCCGTTCAAAGGGCTATCACAACCAAACTGACCAACGCGCTGAAGCCAGACCACTTAGAAGTCCAAAATGAAAGCCACATGCACGCTGTGCCCCCCGGTTCGGAATCCCATTTCCGTGTCCTTGTTGTCAGCTCCAAATTTGAGGGCCTGCCGCTGATTCAGCGTCACCGTCTGGTTAACGAAGCTTTGAAGGAGGAGTTAAGTAGCTGTGTTCATGCACTGGCGATCCAAGCAAAGACTCCTGAGCAGTGGCAAAGTAACCCTACCGTGGCTAAGAGTCCGCCCTGCATGGGAGGTTCGAAAGGTGATCACACAGTGGAGGAGAAGTTAAAGGCTGGGCGAGAATGAAGTGTTGGACTGTGAAGTAGTTTCACTGTGCTGAGGGACTGAAATGTGAAGACTACAGGAAAATACTTGACAAGTATAAAGAGCAGCATTTCCTCTTTTATTTGGAGATCATTTTGTTGTGGTCTTATTTCTAAATCTTTTCTTTAATTCATTAATAATGCAAAATTTGGTTTGAATGGTTCTGTTGTTATAAAACTGCATATAAATTATATGATTTTAGATGGTCACAGGTGTTTTTATCATCCAGGTGCTGCATGAATACAATACAGGGATGCACTCTTCTTCTTTAATAAGCTACTGTATGGTTTTATTTTTGTTTGATTTGTGCTCATAGCATTTAGTGATTTTCCTGAAATCTAAATTTCAGGAAAGCCCCTATTTGCCTGTATACTTGCATTTACTTAGTCACCTCTTAGAATAAAGCAATGCTTGCATTGCTGTGAGTGGCAATAAAAAGTTCCATTTGTGAGACTTGATAATTAAAAGTTTGAATGAAGTTATTCGAGTAGGTATTGGGTATTGAGTATTGGGGATAATACGTGAGTGCAGTTTAGTGTTTCTTACTATTAATTCTGAAGAAACAGGTCTTCTGTGTTTGCTCAACCATTAAGTTACAGTTTTCCACAGTGGTATACTACAAAATGGGTACAAAAAGGCAGATTTTCTTTGTGTTGGAAGGCTCAACATCTGAAACCCCAGTAAGAGATGGGGTGAAGTCAGGGTTGTCTGTGCACCTTCAAGCAAACGGTAGATATATCAGGTGCTTCTTAGCAGCAGTTCTGGCAGGATGAACTGTGAAGTGTTTGGGGCTTTACTCTCTGCTCAGATTCAGCAAAATGCTGCAAAACCAGTTGGATAGAGCTTCACCGTGCAACTGTATAATGAAGCGAACTGCAAAAGCATTACTTAAAGCAAAGATGGGATCTCTGCCCACCAGAACATGTTTTCAGTTATTAAATGCAAAACTGAATGCAGGAAGGTTGTTCGTCCAAGTATTAAATGCAACCAAGTGTTTCAAACATATGTACATTTTAGCCTCTGAAAAATGGGGCCTGTGTGTAAAACTGTCTGCAATTCTAAAATAGTTAGTTCAATACTTTTGTTAAAGCGCTTTAATTAAACCTGAAAGTCTGCAGTTCAGTTACAGAAGAAAAAAAAGTTATTGTCTAAATGCTGTGGACATAAAACGAACTCATGAGATGCTGCTGGTGTTCAGGGAGATGACGGCAGTGTTGCAGTTTCAACACTAGAGGGCAGTATGTGTGAACAAATCGGATTATTTGAATGGCTAAATCAAAAAACAACAAAAACGTTGACCAGTGTTGGATATCAGTTATTGTGGTGCTTTTTAATTTTCTCCTTATGATTATGCATGTAGTGATATTAAAAACACAAACTGATATAATGCTCAAATCCCAGGACTAAGCTAAGAGAAGCTTATCAACAAAATACACTTTAAGACAAATGTGTTTATTTAAATAGAAGTATTTTATTGCTAATTTGTAAATTAGATGTATTTTGAATTATAATTCATGTATTTTTGTTCTCAGAGTTTCACATTGAACTTTTACACAAAAAGTACAAAATGGAGTTTCTGCTTGTTCTCAGGATGATGCATACTTTACAGTCAGTTTGCGTGCGCTGTATGTGGGTGGGCGTCTATTTTTGAGTCGTGTCACTGTAAAGGTCTTCCTGTCCTGTCCTCAACCCTGATGATGGCCAAAAATCACCTCTCACGCCTGCGAAGGAGATAAGACAAGAAAAATAACTGGAGGGAGTCTGACTCAACATAAGGTTTCATTCAACTGAAAGATTCATTTGAGTTTTGTTCAGATTACGTGTAGGACAAAAGCAGCAATGCCAAGCGGATATCACCGAGCCAAAGCAAGCGTTAAACGCCGTGCTGCAAAACTGTTCAAAGTTATTGTTAGCTCAAGACAAGTTGCTGAACGCAGGCCTTTGGTGGAATGTGATGCCACCTCAAGGTAATGCGTGTCATCTTCTACAATCATCCCCTGCCTGGAATTGACAGCCTGTCAGGCCGCACAAAAGGCTTCGGTGAGGAAGGTGAACAACTGGTGTCACTGGTTTGGAAAAAGGAAAAACAGAAACAACCACTTTATGACCCCTGCTCGCCCATTAGAGTCAGACCTAAGGGTGCAAGAAATGAAGCTGGGGCTGTGAGAGAAAGCCGTACGTTGGGCTGCAAGGCCCCGGGACCTGCAGACTGTCTCTGCTGATGTGATTTATTGGTCACAATTCCAGGTGCTGTTATGGATGGAGAGGGAAAAGACATCAAGGATGATGAGGTGGAGTGCAGGGACTTGTTTTGCACTTAAAAGGTTGGACTGTTTTACATGCGCTTCTAGTACATCACCTATTCAGCCGTGGCAGTTATACGGGAAAATAATAGGGTTACTCGGTCACTGTTTTGGCCAGAGGTGCAGTTCTAAGTGTATCCAGAGATCAGTAATTTAGCTTTCACTGAAATGGCTGTTCATTAAATAATTGGGTCAACTAGCTCAGCTAGGAAAATAAAATTTAAGAGTTGCCTGTAGCAGTACAATTAGCGTCCAGTCAGATGGAGACTCCACTCATGGTTGTTTGGAAGGTGGCAGTTCAGTGAGAGTGAGCGTTCATTACTTCAGTTTAAAAAGTTTTTTCTTTTCACATGTTCTTATTTTTGTTTGTTTTTTCTTTCTTACCGAATTTAATCTTTACAGTCAGCTTGGCACATTTGGTCTAAAGACTTATTAGGATAGTCTAGTATTTTTCCCACATTTTTAAAAATGCTGAAGTAGAGACATCAAAAGAAAGAGACATGTAACTCAAAGAATCCTGTAACTTCCAACTGAGAAATGTCTTTTTTTCTTTTGAGCCAAATAACACAATTAAAACAGTTTTTATTTTTAGCCAGTTATTCCACAGCTGTTCTTTTTATGTCCTTTTCGCCTTTAAAATTAAAGTTAATTATTAAATGCTTCAAAATAAGTAATAAGAGATGTTTCAGGGTGGCTGCTGAGTGGCTAGAGTTTATGAAAGGGCTTGATTGATGTTTGGATGTGCCAAGTTAATGTAAAGACGTACTTTTATGAGCAGTGTTTTATTCTATTAGTTATAAAACGCCAGTTAAACACCAACTTCGCTAAATATATGCAAGGTGTATTTTATGTCTTAATTTCTGCAGGTACTCGTCTATCAGAAATTCACTGTAAAGCTATGGTTTTTATGATGTAACTGACTATAGTTTACCATAAGGAATTTCTATTATTGTTGAAAATGGGGTTCATTCTTCCCTTGTATCAGCTCATTCTCACACAGAACTACTGTTCACTAGATGTATACCATGCCTCTTCCATCATCTCCAGACTCCAGCAGTGATGGATCTGTCTCCGGTCTCAGATCTGGCCTGCATGGCCTGGGGGGTGCAACAGGTCAGTGGGAACCCACCTTGGCAGTTCTGTTTCTGCGTCAGAGGCCTGGGACAGATGGTGCCAGCCTGGGCTGGGACCCCGGGCAGGGCAGGGTTCCCGCGATGAACAGTCCCTGATTTACGCTGCGGCTCCGGACCGAGGGCCGGAGTGCAGGGGGCTCCCTTTGCGCAGCTGACCCTGGCTGGCCGCAGGGTCATCCATCGGTAGGGACAGAGAGGGGGGAGGTGGGGTGGGTACGACAAATGGGTGTCTGAGAAAGGGTGGTTTGTCTGTCTCGAGGGACTGGCGTCTTCTTTTGGCCCCCTGGGCAGCTGCAGGATCTGTGCAGCATGTGTGGAGGAAGAGTCGCCTGTTAAACACATTTCATTTAAACCCCTCTAAGAACAACACTCATTACATTTACTGCCTTTAATGCCAAACCTGGTGTACTGCACAGTACCAATAGCTCAGCAAAAGCACCCAGTTTGGTCCTTTAGTCTTTGGTGTTAATTGGAACAATTCTATATCACAGACTCAATATTAGCAAAAAGGTCTCAAAATGATCAGTCCTACTTACAATTTAATAATTACCGAATTACTTTTATGAGCTCCCGCGCTCCTCTGCTGGTGATTAATCTTTAGCTTGTTTTATGTTGTAAAAAAGAAAAAAAAGAGTTGAACTAAAGGTGATGGTAATAAGCTATTAAGGCTTTTTAATTGGAAAGCCCCCACCCTCACCAACTCTCTCTCACACCACACCGCTGACTAATGAAATCAGTGAATAGCTGCCTTGAAAGGAAAGGACAAAAGCAGAGATAGGGAGAAGACAATATCCTTGTGTGGGAGAATTAGTTACACTCGGTAGTCTAAGTATTCAAAGCGCAGAAAAAAAAAAAGATTTGGGGGGGTGGAGGAGGATTAAGAGAAAAGTCTACACAGGTGGGTTGCTGGGAGGGAGGAGGGGTCACATGACAGCACATTACCTCGTTTGATAAACAACAGCCGGGGCCCACAGGAAGGAGGAAGGGAGTTATTTTATAGGCGGAATTAACTGCTTCACCACATCAGGTATTCATTATGGTAAATCTCCCAGGTGTGCTGTACATGCAAGTAAAAGCAAACAACTTAGGAGGTTGGACTAGATGCAAAACAACTTGTGCTGATAGGTACAAGGTTTGCTGAATGAACTGCTTCCTAATCACAGCTGAAGTGTTAAATGTGATTTCGAGAAACAACCCCCCCCCCCATCCTTTTATTGTACAAGCACTCACTGCCATTTGTGCACCTTCATTATTGCCAAATGTTTAAGACTGTGCCAAAAGTTACATGTAATTTACTAGATGAATGAGATAAAGTCATTAAAGCGCTCATGTACATAAGCAAAACCACATTTTATGTTACAATAGAGAGAAGTGTTACTAGTTGGCTACAGATGGCGATTATTTATATTAGATAACTAAAAATATTAGTTATCTAATATAAATAAGTATAAAATAATCCAATCAGAAAAGAATAAATAACTGAAAGTAACAGATGAAATTTAATTTCCTGAAGAAAATTTTCAGTGTAAAAGAATCTTTAGTGTCTCAGGAAATAGGTTGGTGATTGTAACTCTTAAACTTAATAATGAGAAGAAATTAAACTTTTATTTATATTTTAGAACGTCACCTCATAGATGCTCATTCCACTTTCATGAGTTAAAAGTCCCAGTTTTCAATGATTTTCGATAATTGCTATTTAATCACAGACTGTATATAAGAGATGCATGTAGCAATTGTGACATTACCCATGGATTAACAATGTCCTGTCTTGCATTTGAGAGCTGAGCGGTTTTCCGTTGCTTTGCTGGTGGCTTGGAAACTACAGATGTGAATCTGACTGAGAAACTGAGCACACTGCACACTTTTCACTTCACAAGATAACCCACCCCAAATTAAAGCCTGTTTAATACTCTTTTTTACTTTAATGGGAGCAGTAATGTACAAAATAAACATTATGTGGTCTATTCAGTACGACTTCAAAATAATGATTGAGACTGAAGTCATAGAAGGAGGGATGTACTACCAACAAAG